ACTTGCGTGGTAACAAGCATCGAAGGGATGGCACGGTGGCGCAAAGGCCCGACAAGCGCACAGAACTCTATGATGCCTCTAAGCATTCGGGAATCCTCCACTAACAATCAGTGACTGAATCTCTGATGGTTCACAACATGCTTCAGGCTTGCGAATAACCGTCAGCAACTGTTTGCGACACACTCTCTTGTCGACTGGTCAGCGAGTACTCCTCGTGGCCCGCCTCCATGCCAATACTTCCACAACTCAGAGCCGGATGGAACCTTCATGTGGTCAGACGGCCGGTCCGAACATGGCTGTGGTATTATGACCTTAGGCCCTGATTTTCGATGAACGTCGCATATGACCCGGGCTTGGTATCCGATAACCGCCCGGAGGCAACAAATGCGATTTCTACCATTATTATCAACACTACCACTCCATAACTACTATATAATCTACACTCAATAGTCCAAATCCATTCTATAGACTCTATTTAATTCTTTCTATTATAAAATCGTTCTATATAATTCCCTTTATAACATAAAGAGACTTTATATACAGCGTATCCCCCTCTAATCTTTAATACTCCCCTACTATTATTACTAATTTCTCTATTAAAACGCCTCTTCTAAATGTTAAAATAATATATAAGATACTATCGAATAATATTTAAATCTTATTAGTTATAATTATCTTATAGTAATTTCGATAGAGTAATAATTAAGATAAAAGGCGGCCGAGATTAAATATCTTCTCTACCTTCTTTAATTAATCTTATTACTATTAGCTTAAGAAACTTCTAATACTTCTAATAAAACGTTTCTATTAATTTATAGAGCTTAAAGATATTTAAAAGACTTTTATTTAAATACTAATAAAGTAGAGATATTTAGTTTTAATTATAAGCTCGCTAAGAAGAATATATAATTACTAGAGTATTAAATCGATTAATCTTTTTTATATACTTATTATAGTAATAGAAAAGCTTAAAAATTTAAAACTTCTTCTTTTATATATTCTAATTATTCTCTTTAAAAATAGATAGAACTATATAACTATTTATATTAGTCTTATTAGAACGTTTTCTCTTTTTAAAGATAGAGTTATTAATCTCTTTTATATTATATATAGTAATTAGGGCTAGAATAAGATTATTATCTTATTAAATTATTATTAATATATTATTCTAAATTACTATAGCGAGAACTTTATATAAAATATCTCTTATAAAGACTTATTTTATCTTTATAAGTAATTTTAAGAGATCTAATTAATTTAGCTTTATAGTTTTATATATCGTAATTTCTCTATCTTTTAGAGTTATAACTAGCTTAAATTTATTAAAATAGTTATTTATATTAAGAATAGAGTTACGAGATAGTATATTAGTAACTAATTTAAATATTATAATTAATATATCTTTAAAACTTTTAACTTTTAATTTACTCTTAAAACTCTATATAGAAGAATACTAGATATAATTATAGAAATAACCTTTATCGCTAATTACGAAAAGCTTATATTCCTTCTTAATTAACTTATCTAGAGCTATTATAAAATAATATATATATCTTATCTTCTTAATTATATATTTATTAATTACGATATAAAAACTTAAAATACGAAGCTTCTTTTAATTACTCCGTATCTTACTCGTAAATAACTAAAGCTTTTTATACTATATAGACTATTTATATCTATCTATTCTAAAAATTCTAGAGTTCTCTTCGATAGAGTCTAAGTAATAAATAAATTTCCGAAGAAGAATATAGCGATTTCGAGTTATATTTCTAGTAATTAATAAAGCTATCGAAGTAATTTTATTAATTCTTTAATAATTATAAATAGTAGAAAAATAAAAGATTTCTATATAGATTATAATAGCGATAAAGATTTTTAGCTTCGGAATATTAATAGACTTCTAAATAGAATCTAAAGTACTCTATAGAGAGATATATAAATTAATATTTCTATAAAGTATATTCTAGATAGTAGTAGTCTATATAAGACTAAATATCATATATAAAGTAATTTCTATATCGCTTAAAAGATAACTAATAATTATACGATACTTAATTTTTATTAACTAATACTTTAATAGTAAAGATATACTTTAAAAAAGAATATTACGCTATTTAAATTTCTCCTTTCTTATATTAATCTAAGCGTCTCTTTTCTAATATTTTATAGTTTAATCTAATTTTTTCTTATTAGAAATAGATAGAGTAGTAATTTTAGCTATATTAGACTTAATATAATAAAGTTATTATAAAGAATAAAAAAAGTCGCGTAGTTAAGACGCGGAGAAAAACCACGCTAATTTGTTGCCTCGGTCTAGGCGGTTATCGGATACTGCGTGCACTCTGTGCTCGTCTCGTTTTCCTCTATAAATGTTCAAGCGTTTCAGTCATAACGTAAGACCGCGCGGTGTCAGATCTGCGGCGGTATCTTGAAATGGACTTTCGGATTACTATGCTTGTTTTTGATCTGCCAAATCGGCCGTCGGCTGCCCCGTACTCTTTGTTCAACGCCTTCGCCTCGTGGCAGAAAGCCCACAATAAAGCCTCCACCGTTTTCTGGAATGACTTTAGACAAAGAATTACCAACTAAGGGCGAATTGGTTGTGTTCTGGAGCGACTTCTGCCCCTTGCGGATATGATATTTTGTCATTACTCGGCCTCAGCCTCCACACCAGAAATGCCTATGCCACTTCCGGTAGACTGTTGTTTTCGCCCTCATTGTCTTCTGCACCGTGGCTGCAGAATTTGTTTACTCTTTTGGATGCCTGGGTGTGGCCATGTGCCATATTGACCTGCGCCATAATAAAAAGGCTCCTGTCCTAAGTATCCTAGCGTGTTCCAGACCGCCTGACGAACACGTGGAGCTTAATGGTCTATGCCTTTTGCGGGCATTGGTTCTTTGTGCAGCAAGACTTGCCACGAGTTATCCATGACCTTTCAGCTCAAGCCTATGTTGTTGGGATTTCTCGCTCAAAGGGCTGGACCGACCACGCGCTGCATAAGTAGGACTCGCTGCCTCGAGATATTTTTCCTCGGCACGCTCCAGATACCATTCCAGCGGCCATTCAACTCCAGCCTCGACTCCTCCTTAGACAACTTTCAAGTCTTAGTCAGCCCGTACCCATCGACACCATGCTCTACCTCTCATTCGCGGCCTTGGGTCTGACCTTCTTCAGCCTTAATGCGGCTGCTGTGCCTTTGGCGTCACCTGGTATGCTAGAAATATATTCTTCCATGCCGTATGATATTTTCCGAAAGCTAACGGATGTCATCAGAAGCCATCGCATCTATTATGGCCAATCTGCCTGCAGAACATGCAGCAGGCTTAGCATCACTGATGGCTCGCGGAAACAATCCTCCTACCTTCAACTCCTCGATAGACGTACTCCAAAACAGCTCCATGAGCGCCATCATCGATTCGTACATCGCCAATCTCGAGCAGGCCGGGTTCGTCCCCAACGCAAACGCCACGATCTCGAAGCGCGATGCCCTTAGCCTTGACTCGCTTGTCGAGAAGCGATCTGTTCCCAGCATCCCCCTTGTCATCAACTTGCTCGAGCAGCATGGCTTTGTCCCCGTCAGTGCGACCGACGGCACAGCCTCGAAGCGCGATGCTTCCGGTCTCGAATCAGCTTTGGAAAAGCGCACCTTGCCGGACATCAACCTGGTCATCAGCAGACTGGAAGCACACGGCTTCGTTCCGTCGGGTAACAGTTCCCAGTCGAGCATCTCCAAGCGAAATAATGCCAGCGACATCAACACCGTCATCAGCCAGCTTGAAGCCTATGGGTTCAACCCCAATGACTTCATGCGAGGAAACTTTTCCGCATCAGCAAACAGTACCACTTCTTTTCCAAAGCGCGCTGCGCACATGTCCCTCAAGGAAGCCTCTTGAGCTACGGAACTCGTGGCGGCGCCAGTTTGGATGGCAAATAACAGGATGAAGAGCTGTTCCCTCAAGCATGACGCTTGCGCCAGCGAGTTCAACAGTCTGATTGTCAGTCGGACGGAAACATTTTGAATCTACGAGGCATTTTCAAGGACATCAGAGATCCTCTTCGGATCTGTATCATTATGGCATACTTCGCATACCTTTTTTTTTGGGATATAGCTTGGTGGATGTAGACATTTCTTTTTCATCAGGAGCAAGTATGAATGCTTTGGGGCACTATGAGAAGAGCCCGGCGGCAACGGTGGAACTTTCCTTTGGCGTACGGTGCGACATAGAACACTTGACTTGTTGACCACTTTTCATATACATACATTTGGGTAATACTAGCTTTGACATCACACATGTCCCACGTACCTAATTAATGCACTCCAGCAAGCAAGGGGCCGTCTCGCTCGTCATATTGTTGCTTAAAATCTCGTCGCGAAGCAACTACACCGTGTACGGAGTGTTTCTCCTTGGTGTTGTCTTTTAGTCTTAATTCTCAATTATACTTGTCACGCTCTGCTCATGACCACAGCGCTGGTACAGTACTGCGAGCGGCATCCATCGGTCCTCCTGGCTTGGCATTGACTCTGAAGATGTCCTTTGTGGTCAATCTCCCACTTAGATCTGCAGACGTTGGACAAACGGGTACGAGATAGGGTCTATCATGAAGCCAGCATCTGGAACGTTATTGATATCGACGCTATTGTTATCCGCGCCTGCCTACCAGACGCATTTGTACCCTGCGAGTGCTCTCGGGGATTGAAATTGTTGACGTAGCATCGTTCTTCTAGAAATTTGAGATGCTAGCCCGGTCTTAATATTGGAGCTGGAGCTCGTCGCGTGACAGCGAAATGAAAGGAGTCTAAAGTTCCTAGGAAACCGATTATCAACTGTGTTTAACATTCAGTTCGATCATATTTAGACTTGCAATCCTTTAAGACTGACCGGCTCTCAACAATTAGACCCTCTTCACATCACTCAAGAGGGTAAACATTCTCTGTTCATAATACTTCAAGCTATTATTCTCCTCAAGACGGACTTATTTTGGCATCAGCATCAGCATGGAAGACGGAGTCCCTACCTCGTGGTCTCGCATTCCTACACCACGCTTGCAAACTCCCGCCTCAGAGGCGTCTGGCAATGGACAATCTCGATCATCACAGGCGTAGTCGGGGAAGCCTTTCAGCGGTATCTCTTGATCCTCAACATCATAACCGTCGCTTCTGCCATCGTCTTTTCGATCCCCGTCATTGCCCTCGGGCTGATCGTGTTCCTCTTCATAGACTCTATTGCCTTCTTCCAGAGTATCTGCGCACATCCTCCTGTCCCTACTCCCCCAATCGCAACCTCATCGACAAACAATTCCGTTGAGGAAGTTCCGCAGACATACACCGACCCTCCTTTCGCTGATGAGTCTTTAAAAATATACACCCTCCCCAACACACTTCGTTTCATCGCCAGCCCCCTCGACATCGACGACGTCTCAACTCCTCTGTATATAGGCCTGCTCTCCGAGTTCGTTCGACTGATAGACTTAGCAGGATCGATCCTCTGGGTTGGCCTCTCCTCATACCAAATTTGCTCTTCACTCAGCTCGGATGAGAATTGAGACGTTCGGCTGGGTAGTAGGGCCTACGAAGTCACTATCGGGCAGTCCGTCAAACAAGATGATGCGACGAGTCGTGTCGAAGTGGCGCCGACTGGAAGGGTTCTCGGGGAGGTTATCGGCACATACGTGGATAACGTTACCGTTCTGCTGAAGATGGAGGATTGGTTTACGGAGAGCGGGACGTTTGAGATGGGAAGGTGGAGGGTTGAGCAGGTGCAGGCTGGTGACGAGCTAGGCATGGAGGTGGCCGTACTGGAGTAGATGTTTTACGAAGAGAGAGATGCCTGCGTGCCACATGATTCTCCCCGGCACCAAAAGAAGGCCAATAGTGTGCAGCAAAAGAGGCGCTCACACCGTGACAATGTACCTTACAAGACAGCCTACCTTTATCTCCTTCTTGTGGCGTCCATTCATCAAAATCCATACTTACTTACTCTTCAAGCATTGCAAAATTTCAGAGGCGCCATGCAAAATGAAATCCTATTAACCTCTTCCGCATAGTCATGTTCAATTTGAGCGTCGTTCTTGAAGTGAAACAATGGATTCTGCCACACCCAGTCTCGTTAGGAGGGAACGAGGGGCCTGCTCTTGTGGACTTATCAACCTGGTCAACTCGTGAGCGGGCTAGAATTACCTCAAGAATTGCTCGTTTATGTATGAATTGATTAGCTATCCATGAATTTTCCGACAGATTATAAATGGTGCTTTCGATTACTTGCAGGAGGCTTGCAGTAGCGAGACCCTAAGAACCGGTTGCTGTCGCAACATCTCCCACTCTGTTCCGCTCGACTCCGGTCTCATCGTGCCGCCTCTGTTAGAATATCAGGTATGTGCTGTGTAGAACAGTTGGATTGATTTCTCCAGACCTCTCCGGGGCCAGGTCTTACATACAGTATAAAATTAGGTGGCTGAGAAACACGGTGGCTGGGAAGCCTGGGGGCCAAATTTCGACAGCCTCCCCTTTTAGCGTCGTCGCCGTCTCGGAGCGGTATTTATCGTCGTTGTAGCCCAAGCTATGGCTGCCGCCCTCTTCGCATTGGCAAGGTGATCCAACGCGGGAAAATAGAGTACTGTACGACTCCCTCTTATCGCCGCCATAGTATTTGAGTGGAGACGCGAAACGAAGACAGTGTTTAGCGATGATCAGGCCCAGCAACATTCAGGGGAGGTTGTCGAATCAATCTGTCCTCCACTTGAGCGCTACTAGCCGACATGGATCATCTACCTCTCCCATCAGATCCCATTCTACCGTTGAGCGAGGTCCCCTACCTTTGCAATGAGCCCTACGATACCACCATACCATTTCTTGAATACCCTCGTCACAAAGGTAGACCCTGGATGACACGTGAAGCGCCCTACGAGTATCACGAGGCGCTCTTTCCTACACCAACGCGCGATCTCGAAAGCTTCTTCCAGACTTGGCTATGTTTTGGCCTACTCGCCGAGCTTCTTGCCGGGCTCTTTGATCATGAGAGCTTTGTGTCAAAATCGAAACGAGATGGCAGCCCGGTCATCTCAACGATGCAGCTCCAGTCCTTGACAGAACAACGCTTCGAGTTGGTAAGAACACTGGACAAGCCAACGCAAAAGGAAATCTACCTCCACGCCGTCCAATGCATTGATTTTACTACGAGGGTCTTACCAGTTGCAGCACCAGACTTTAATCATGCTGTCAAAAATTCCATTGCTTCACTTGCAGAACTTCTAGGAAATGCCATAGATCTAGCCCATCTAGGTACCTTTCCAGACGCTATGCGCTGCAAAAGACCATTCACCCGTAATTTTTATTCAGACGAGATGAAAGCAGCGATGGTGGCAGCCAATTGGTGTCCTAACGACATTACACGGCTGACCAACAAATTTACAAGCATTCAGTTACTGTATTTCTTCAGCAAGATGAAAAAGCCACCGAGTATGGCTAACCATCGAGATTGCACTTCCAAGTGTTGTTTTGCACATTCTCTTAGCCTGTCCCAGTACAAGATGCGTCATTCTGAGGCTTGTACCAATGAAACTAAATGCGAACGCAAACCCATCTCCATCGATCAGCAGCCTGTCGTGGACATCTACCGCTCTGGAGCAATACCCCTCCTTCAATTCACTGTTAAGGACAATGAGCCAAGCAAAGTTATCCTTAAGTTGTCCAGTTCCGGGATAGACACGACACATTATGTGGCAATATCGCACGTCTGGTCGGACGGACTGGGTAATGATGGGGCCAATTCGCTCCCCCATTGCCAACTAGCACGTCTTGCTAGAATGCTCGACCTGTTTGCTGAAGCTGGCAAACAACCTTTTTTCTGGCTAGACACACTCTGTTGCCCGGTCGACCCTGAAGGGAAAAAGCTAGCGTTGTTGCAAATGAGGCGCATCTATGCAGAAGCAAACAAGACACTGATCCTTGACTCAAGTTTGTACAGCTACAATAGTCAAAATTTAGGTGCAGCAGAGCTCCACGCCAGGTATTTGACATCTGGATGGATGCGTAGGCTATGGACATTGCAAGAAAGCGCACTCGCCAGCAACCCATGGGTTCAATTCAAAGACGGACCTCTTCGTCTAGAGCCCATGTTCAATCGCCTTAAGAAAATACACGACGAAAACCTAAACTACAGGAGGCTGGTGCAAGACTTTTGGCTAGATTCTAAGCCACTGACTTTGAGCTGGTATTACTCCCCAAATGGCCTTCCTCAGCTTTGGCTTCTCGATCGAGCGCTCTCACAGCGGAACACCACCGTTGCTGCGGATGAAGCTATCTGCATAGCCTCGCTCATGAGTTTAGATGTGTCTGAAATTCTCCCTCTGTCCGGTGAAAACAGAATGTGCAAGGCATGGGACCTTCTAGCTGCAGCCAACAACGGCTCACTCCCAAGCAAGATGATATTTCTCGACGGTTTTAAACTCAAACGCCGCGGCTATCGATGGGCTCCATCCACCCTCTTACCTCCCGGCGAACGCTTTCATAACGAGCATACTCGATCCCTTCGATGGCGAGGCCCCCAAGGCAAGCCCACTTCCGAGGGGCTAATGGCCGAATATCACAGTTATAGGTTTCGTCCATACTCAGGCCCATCCCCTTCTCCTATTTGGGACATCCTTCTCGAGATGCGGCAGGTACGCTTTATCTTCAAAGACCAAACACGCGGCATCTGGTGCCAACTTGTCTATAACTCAACACCCACGGAAATAGAAACCGGCCATTCCGCCTCGGAGATCATGCAAACACCATTCGTGGACCACCTAGCCAAGGGCGATCTAGCCGTCGTTCTAGCAGAAAAACCTTCAGACAAGTCTCCGACGTTCTTCGAGGATACGCTCCGAGAAGGTAGACTCGTCACCATCACTGAGGAAAAAGAAGACGTAGTGTATGCAAGTTTAGGCGAGGTTGTGATTCTCACCCCCTTAACCCCGGAGGCAGTCATCGTGTATGATGCTGCTGAACGGCTCATGCAAGAACTCCGTAGCTGGGAGCTCGAAGACTCTAAAGGGCTTGAGGTAGCCCAGCAGGTGAGCGAGGAGAGAATCCGTAAAATGAAGGCTAAGTGTAAGGAGATGACGAGCAAACTGCTCGCGGATGAGCCAGGGCTGGCGGGTGCAGCGCTCAAGTGGTTAGGTGAGGGTGGAGAGGCGTTGGATATGTGGGTATGTGTTGTTACTTGGTTCAGACATGTGGGGGAGGGGTGGAGGTTGGAAGGGGGAAGGATGTGGTGCGTTGATTGACTTTCTCTCGTTGGTCTACTTGCTCCAACGTGGACTTTTCCCGACCCTGAATTTGGATCACCTCAAGCAAACCGGCACCACAGTGATCCAGGCAGCCACAGCAGGCCGAAAGATAGCGAATAGAATGTCTGGACTATGTATCTAAGTTGATCAGTCCGACTTGAAAAAGAAACAAAATGCTGCATGTCAATGGTCAATACTCGACTCCCATAGAGAGAATGGGTACCCGTCTTACGAACCAACATCCAGTACTCGCTTATACCCTCCATGGATAGCGTCAAGGCCCATGACCCACCACTAAGCCCGTAATCAAACAGAATAATGTAGCACCGTTCCGATACCTTTTCCAACACCAGCAAGGCATAGTTCTAGACTACACAGACCTTCATCTGAAAATGTAAAAGGGTTCATTTAGCCTCTCTTGCAAACTGTCTTTGTGGCCTTGAACCGAAGTCATTCAATTAAAAAACCTCACTGTTGCCCATTGGTTGACTGTATCGTTTACATCTCCCTCCTCCCCTTTTCACCCTCCCGTTTCTTCCATCATGGCGTTACACTTTTATGCCCTAGCAGCAACGGTCGCATTGACCTATGCCTTGTCTCAAGTCGAGACTGAAGCTCTCACATCGTCTGGCCTTATCCAGATCAAACCATTCAGCCATCAAGCAGGTCAGATCTTTCATTTCGTGCTAAAAATTCATAAGGATCAGATCTCGAAGCATGTCACGCCCGCTGAGAAGCACGAATACGTCAAATGTCCTACTCATCGAACCGATCTCGGGGGGAATTGATGCTGCCGATGGCGAAAAAGACACGGGTGGGGATCAAGACGGCATTCGTTTACGAACGAACATGGCAATGTGTGAAAGTTATCTCTCCAATCTCCAAGAGATGACGAGGGGTCGTCAGCGAGGATCTTTTTTGGGATGTTGGAATTAGGATTCGTGACAGCTTACATTACGCCGGATAGGATGTTGCTGCATTTTTCGACGGAAGGGGTAGTTCTTCGTTGCTGTGCTGCTTAAGAGGGTACTGGGATAAGGGACACTATTTGTTGCGACTGCCGAGATCAGAAGACTTTGTGTGCCCGGTTGTAAGAGTTAGGAGAGTATGCCTGACTTTTCAAGTATCTCATCGGTGGTTTTGAGGACTGATTGGGATCGTAGGGGAAGTGATCAAGTTGGCGAGGACGGGGGTAAGCGATGGCGAGGTAGGTCTGCAGAACATTGGCAATTGCAAGGGTGTAGAAAGGGATCGAGGAAGTAGTAACGATTGAACTTATGCCCGTAAATTTACCGTATACCCTTAGAAGGTTGCTGAATGAGATGGGCAACACAGCGGCATGAGGAAGTATACTCCTCATGGGTGAACACTTATGGATAGGGTGGATGTATTGACCAGGGAGAAGGATACCCCACGATCGACATGCGACGAAGGCAAAAGGATCTATGTTATGAAATAAACGAAAAAGTCGTCATATGTCGTTACAGCGGTCCAGTCTAGCCATCGAAGTTGACGTCCCCCCAACAGCTCAGCCGAAGGTCAACATACTCAGCGATCAATCCAATCACGCCCATCATTTTGGCTTTTCTCGTCCTCGATATTTTGGGCTGGGGGATCGATGACTTTGACGATGCCAGGAGCTGATGGGGAGAGGAACTTATCGAGCACTGAAAGAATGGTGGCATGCACTGCTCCTGTTTCAGTCCCCCGTCGAAGAGTCCGTAGTAAGATATTTCTGGAATAACCAACGTCTCAACGAGCCATCTTTTTCGTGACAGACTCCATTCGGGCCAGCTGCGGACTATCGGAATAGTCGTTGGTATTCTTCAACAACCTCTACAGCAAACCAACACTGAGCTTGCGAGCTCGCTTACCGCATTGACCCAATCCTGGATGAGATGAGGTCTCGCTGCGGATGATGTGTGTGGATAGTTGCTTTCAAGGACAAGCGAAGCTGTGAGGAGGGCCTCTATATGATCGATGCACCCTGACGGCAAGGTCAAAGTATGCAAGTATCTGGGTCCTTCAAGAGCCAACATTATATCTGGTGGGTGAAGAAAATGGGGAATGGCCTATCCGATTGCTAAGAAGGCAAGCTTACACCGGACATACCTCCATACATATCCACAACAACGACTTGACTTCACGAAACAGCAGACACCCTAGTAAAAGTGACCGCTTCAAGATACTGAGCAGCTTCTGCGTTCCTGCGGTTCCCTCCGTGGGTCTAGGACAGAAATGCTTGCAGACAAGCAATCTTTGACGGATGATAGAGGGCATTTACCATTGCAGTTACCTGCATTGCAGGTCTCAGGTCTCTGAGGATGCACATTTTGTCAAAGAACGCACACCGGAAATCTGCCCTTTCAAGCCTCCCGGCCTTCCAAGGCTTGGAATGCTTGTCCCTCAAATATCTGAGACCAAGGATAGAGGCGGTGCAGCATCAGTGGCATTGTTTGGCAGCTGGGTACTTCTACACTGGTCTATGAATTCTCTTTCAACCGCCTTGGCTTGGGAAACTTCGTCAGATGATGTAAGTATGCCGCTGTCATTTAGAAAGAAAAAAGGGTACTTACAGCGCTTTCATCTTAATAATACAAGTGCCTTAATCTTCATGTTGCGGCAGGCAAGCTTTCAGTAGAACCCACCACTAGAACAATTTTAGTTCCTTTATCTACTGGATGAAGGGCCGCCAGTGTTGGGTCAACCGTGCATTCAAAGCTTTTTTCCAGGGTACTTATGTGCGTATGTAGTCAAATGGCATGGCTTGAAGCCCGCCGGTTTTATGAATTTCGAGGCGGTGAATGCCCAAGCCTGCCACCTTTTCTGGCAGTCTGCTAAGAGGATAGATTACTTTTTTGGCACTTTTGAAAGATCAGATGGACCATGTTTGCGCCAAAATCCATGCAAATAATGGCATATCAATTCAAGGTCTAGTTAGATATCAAGACAATCACCAAGGTTTTGTAGTGCAGCTTGATACAGCGCAAGTCTACTCCATCATGATCTTGTTGTCCATGTTTAAACTTCATGACTGGACAAGTTGACAGTTCTACCAATTGAGCCACCTTTCATGCATTTAAACTGCTGCAGGATCTGTGATGAGCTTTGTGATCTTTCCAATTGCAATCGTCTGTCCTTGGTCTCTTAGTGTGAATCTATAGAAAATCAGCATTCCTTCTTCAAAGCAGAGACCGGAACAATGAGATAAGCTTGAAGGGTTTTTAGGTCCTATTGGCTCCAGGGACACGTCTTGCGACTCGAAAAAGTGCTCCGCAATAGGAACGTTCACTCCGAAATATACATACCTTCCCATCTGTGCGTAATCTTCATACCTATCGATTTTCGGAGTCAGCGTTTCCATTCGAAGGCATCTTTTGAGTTACGCGACAGGTCTCAAGAGCGTAATTCTCCAGAATAGGGGTCAACGGCGAAAAGTAGCTTACTTCTCCACACACACCCTTCCGGCACCACCAATGATCTCTAACCTAGCAATGATACTCATGCCCTGCTTTCCGAACGCCGGCGGTTTCTTGCTTTTTCTACCTGTGCCCTTCTCAAGCTTGTGCAGAAGCGCTGCAAATGTAACCTCCTCGATGGCGGAATGCACGTGCAATACGCAGTTGAAACCGGCGCTTAAAATGCTCTTTAAGTCAAGCAAAGCGATCTGCGCCTCAAAGGCCGAAACGCAGTGGACAGGTCGTTGTGGCGCGCAAAGCACGAAGCCGGGTAAAATGTCTTCTTCCTCAACGCCCCTAATACGTATCCGTACTTGGTCACCACAAGTAGCGCTTGGAATCTCATCTTCTGTCTCACCGTATAGTGCAGAGATGGTGATGTCATCACGATTGGGCTGCCAGCATTTGAAGTCAGCATGGCTCCTTCAAGGCAAACTTTCGCGTTCTAAGACATGTCTAAGGGGTAAAGGAGAGGGGCTTGCTCGCGAAAAACTGTGACTCAGATATCAATTGCGACTAAGCGGTGATCATTTCGAAATGCACATACCATCATCAGATAACTATTACCCTTTTTAATCTGACCAGCTTCGATTTTGCCTTCAATAAGAGTGCCCATGTCTTTGTATTTGGCGTTAATAGGCATCATGAAGGGCGCCTTCACTTTTCGTTCGAGTGTCTTGAAGTTATCGAGACATTCCAGGAGCGATGGACCATCATACCATGGTGCAAGATCTTTAGGTAATCGGTCTTTGATTCCAACCGTAGTTTGGGCCGAGATTGGCATGAAGGTGACATCTTTTTTGCCGTAGCCGACTTGGCGGCTGAGGAAATTCAGGAGCTTCTCCGTGCATTCCTTATAACGTTCTTGGCTCCACTCGACGGTTGGGTCATCCATCTTGTTGACCACAACGATTAATTTGTTGACGCCTTGGGTTTTGGCCAGGATGGCGTGTTCTCGTGTCTGGCCTCCTTTCTCGAAACCCGTTTCGTACTCTCCTTTCCTTGCTGAGATGACGAGAATGCCAACGTCGGCTTGTGATGCTCCTGCGATCATATTAGGAACGAATGTCTTGTGTCCTGGCGCGTCGAGGATGGTGTATCGTCGTTTCTCGGTTTCAAAGAAGCCTCTACCCACTTCAACGGTCTTTCCTTTCGACCGCTCCTCTTTCGTTAGATCTAATGCCCATGATAGATACCATGTCTCTCGACCAGCTTCCTTGGCTTCTCGCTTGTATTTGTCCATTGTCCTTTCGTCTACCATGCCCGTTGCGTACAAAATACTGCCTCCCAGTGTTGACTTTCCTGCATCAACATGCCCGATGAAAATCAAATTCACATGCTCTTTTCCGTACACATCTTCCAAGATCTCCTCCTCTACCTCTGCAGCTTGCTCTTTCGCCACTGCATCTGCCTCCCTCTTCGCTTCTCGAGCTTCCGCAGCTGTGGGACTGGATCGCCCTGAGGATGGAGAAGGTGAAGTTGTTCCGCTGGTGCCTGCTGCCGACTTCTCGGTCTTTTCAATTGCCTTGGCCGCTGCGACCTTTGCTCCATCTTCGGCCGAAGCATCCTTGGCTGCTGAGGGAGCGGGTGTTGGGACACCAATGGACAGAACCTTTGGCTTTGTCGCTGTAGCACCCGGGGTTTCCCCGCCAATTGAGAGTGTCTTGACCACGGGTGGTCCTGAGGATTGAGCGGGTGTTGGTGGAGGGGCTGCAGGCGAGGATGCCGAATCTGCCGCTGATGGCCTCTTTGCTATTATAGGTACTCTTTGTTGCTGAGAAGTTTGTTGCTGTTGCTGCTGTCCACCATAGCCCTGGTTGAAGCTTGATTGCTGACCGTAGCCCGGGCTATACTGATTGTAACTTTGTTGCCCGTATTGCGGGTATGCTCCGCCGTATTGTTGCTGTTGATTGTAAAATTGCCCATACTGCTGTTGTTGACCATAGCCTCCGTATTGTTGATATTGTTGACCAGGCTGAAAAGATTGAGCACCTGGCTGGAAAGTGTTCGCATTTGGAGTGAAGCCGGTGGGTCGGCCGGCCTGGCCGTTGATATTCAGGTTTTGCTGCGTTTGCCTGGAGAGGTTGTCATCTTGTGCCGCTGGGTCGTCCTCCCACGATTCGAGACCCGACATGATGGTGGGGGTGTAAGGTTTTGAGTGTGCACAGTGCCTCAAAGTGGGGGCTGCGGCCTGCTTTGTGCGATGATTTGTCTGTCTGAATGTCTTGGTTGTCTTGGTCTCGAATACGAGGTCCGACAAGTTATTGAGGTAGTTATATGTAGGTTGGAACGATCTCTGGACTTGAGGGTCTCTTGTGTACTGCCAAAACTTCTGATCTTCAACCCATAAAAATGTGAGAGTCAGATCCGCGCGCTGACGGCTCGGCTATCGTAGGGCTGTTAGCGCTCCCGGCTATTGTTGACTCTTGGCAGAGTCATCTTGACTCGTGTTGATTCACTCATTCAACAACATTCCGATATCCCTGCTGACGATTAGCACTGATCCCGTCGTCATCCAAAATACTGACCCGGATAGCTTTTGGTCGAACAAAAAGTGCTCATGACTCACTATTATACACGAAACCATCGCAGAAACCATGGACATATTCCTGGGGAAGGTAGGATGCGTGGCTTTAAGGAAGAATGCTGAAAAGGGTCTAACAAGATTCATAGGTGACACAGCAAGCTATGAACTATGCCATAAGGTCCATAAATGCAGGGGCCACTCTCAGGACCAACGCTGATCCTATTGCAGATCTGGGATCACAATAACTGCTGGTTATGCAATCAGGCAGTCGTCCAGGCTCCTAAAGGTCTCTACGCTCTCTTGATCTCGTTGACTATGACATAACTTATCCTGACCATTCGATAATAGACTATTGAGGGCAACGAGAAAGAGGAGCTTCAAGAACTGCAAGAGCGTTTGAACAGCAAGATCCGGGTTTGTCCCCTTTTCCCGTACCATGATAATTCTCGTATCAATCACGCTTTCTCCTATATCTGTCGATATCTGTGCCTGTTGTCTGGTTGCTCAGCTCCCTCTTCTATCCCCAATGAGAGAAAGGAGACATTTCTTAATTATTTCCTGGTAGATCATATCGCCTGCGATTGATATGATAGAATTGATGTACGTAAGACCCTAGAGATCTTTGTTTAAAGTAATGACTGATATGTTATACCAGCTCTGCTAGGGGAAATACATCTCTGGAATCTGCTGTCTCCCTCACTAAGTCCCTTCGATGGGAGATCCAAGCTCTCGGCCAACGTCTCGCATCCGCAGCCAATGCCGAGGAATTGGTACGAAGAAAAGTCTCCAAAGCTCAAGACAAGGCTCAACACGAACAAGAATTGAAGCGAATAGTCCAAGCTATCCGCAAGCTACTGAGTCGCATCGAGGATGCAGTCCCACTCATCAATCTTGCCATCACAGCTTCTGGTGCCAGCCTTTCCTCAAACTTGCCCTCTACCGTCTCTCCGTCCCGCTTACTACAGGCTAGCACCTTTTTGACGGCAGGAGACTCGCAATACGGTGTATCGTCTTCCAGCTATGTTCAGATCGGTCCTACCTTCACCTTGTCAATGTACATGCTCTTCCTAGGTCACCTTCGACCACAAAATGAAGAAGAGGTGCGAGAGAGTACGTGGAAAGAGGTCATTCACAAGGCGGATGTCAGGCTCATGCGAGTGTCGATCGACGCACTCTATGACCTACCTGGAACCAATCGAACGGCAAATTCTCCAAAGCATACCAGTGGGGGCGATGGGACATCCGACTTCAAGGAATCGGAACGCTCGGACTACTTTCCCCCACAAATGGATGGTGAGGTTAAAACAGATGAATACGCTTATCAGCTTGTCATTGTTGAAGACTTGGATGATGATCGCGTCCACACTTTCGAGGATGGCGAGCCGCAACCCGGCTCGTACGGGGACGTACCTTCGGCTGGTATACGAGAAGCTGTCCCAATACACGAGCTGTCCAAAATCTTTTACGCAGATACGGGTAAGATCCTAAACATCGGAAGTGAAGGCGAAACCAACAGCCCGGTGCTCCTGTTGAAGAGAGATCCAAATGCTATTCCACCAAGAAGGATGATGAACCAAGATAATAATGAAGACGGACAAGGCTTCGACGAGGCAGACACCAATAGCTTTAACCAATCCCCGGCAACGAACAGTCATGACAGCAGTAAAGCACTGGTTACTTCACCCCAGTGTGGACTGCAATCCTCGCCAGCGGCATCAACACTATCGCAAGACCAGCAAGTTACCCGCCTTCCAGATCCCTGGCGTCTTCCATCTGATCTCGATCCCGAATGGATAGCATTCGAAGTCTACACCGAAGCAGAAGACTCCGATACTGAGTCCGAAGTCGACACATCCTCTTTGAGACCCGCCCCATCCTCTCGCGCTCCTTCATTGGACCCAAAAATGACGTCTGCTTTATCTCGCCTCTCAGTGAACACTCCACCCACATCCTCTCCGTCACCTCAGCCACCAACTCCACAGATTTGGCAGCAACTCCGGCCTACGCTTCCACCGATTCGAACCTCGCTTTCTTTATTGGAGACGCTTCTTCGACTTCTATCCCTCCAACAATTCCAGCAAACACCTCATCTGTCTATTCCCGATGAACTTCTTACCTTTTTCCTCAGCGAGTCAGCCTCTACTGGTGCCGCGAGTAATGACATACAAGAGCGTAAGCGTCTTCGAGAGGAAGCACGACGACGTGTCGGTTTCGATCCATATGATGAAAGCCCTATCAAGCGAAGGGGTGAAGAATACCAGTACCATGGCCGTGAAGGAACCCTTCAGTCGGACGGAGAGGGAGAACACGGAAGCGAACGAGGTTATGAAAGCGAGGCGCGCTTTCAAAGTCCAAGGTATGAAGATGAAGGGTACGACACCAGGAATTGGACGTACCCATCGCAAGGAGGACGCTCCCCTTCGACGCCAAGAGAGTCAACACCACAAACCCCCCCTCTACTGCTGAAGAACCGATCGAGAAGTGGCACGCCAGAGAAATCACCATCCATTCCTGGAGGACGCTATGCTGCGCCTAAGAGGTGGCATGACGGTCGAGCTGGTCTGCGTCAAGGGAACGCTGATGCCGCCAGAAGAGGGAGTCCTTTAGCAAGGGCAGGAACAGGAGTCACCGATGAGGCATTGGGTACGAGTCCTGCATCTGGAGAGGAACAGAAAAAGTAAGGTGACATCGCAACGGAACGAGAGCAGGTTCGGAATGTGGCTTGATGTTTAGCACTTTTGCATAGTACGGCTTGAGTTGTAGCATAGCTCGGAGCGATGATACCTTGATGGGATAACAACATTGCTGTATCCGGAGTCCTGGATTTCTCTCTTGGTGCCTTACCAACCAAAAAGGAACATTAGAGATCTATCTTCCTTCCAATAATGTCCGCAATGCCCATGAACGCCGCGCCCCTTGCACTCTCAGGCTCTGCAACTACAGTAGGCTTCCCTCGATCTGCATCATCACATATCCTCGCATCAAGCGGTATGTCTCCTAATAGCTCAATATCATGACTCTCACACGTCCTCTTAACACCCTCCGAACCAAAAATATGCGTACTGTGACCGCACTTCGGGCAACTGAAAACCGACATATTCTGCACCATGCCCAAGATCGGCACCGAGACCTTCCGGAACATGGAAATCCCCTTCACGGCATCTTTGAGAGCGATATCTTGCGGCGTCGACACGATGACGGCGCCATCGAGCTTGATCTGCTGGGTGATCGTCAGTTGCGTATCCCCCGTCCCTGGCGGCAGGTCCAAGACCAGTATGTCCAGACCGCCCCATTCGACTTCGTGCAGGAGCTGTTGCAAGGCTTTCATGACCATGAGACCGCGCCACACGACCGGTGCTTTTTCGTCGACGAGGTAGCCCATTGACATGGATTTGACGCCATAGTTCGAGAGCGGGATCAATTGATCGTCTGCGACACCAAGCCATATCATATTAGCCCCCTCCCTCCCTCTTCCTCCCTTCCTTCCGTCACTCAAATCCAGGGCGAACATACTAGCACTCAGCCTCGGCTCCCCCCTCAAATTCAACAGCGTAGGTACACTCGGGCCGAAGATATCCGTATCCAGCACCCCGCTGCGATGGCCACGTCTGGCGAACGCCAACGCGAGATTGACGGCTATTGTCGATTTTCCCACCCCGCCTTTCGCGGACGAGACGGCTATCACCTTGCGGACATCGCGTATGTGGCGTTTCTCGGGCAGGCCGCGCTGGCGGCGGGGGAGCTCGGGGGGGGCGCCGGTGCGAGGGAGGCCCTGGGATGGAGCGTTAGGTGAGGAAGGTTTCGGGGGGCAGAGGGGAAGGGGAAGGTACTAATGGGTTCTCATGGCTTAGGGCTCTGAGGGAAGAAGAGAAGAGCCTCTTTGTCATGATCGTAGTATCATCTTGTTGAAGGGGGAGAAAGGCCCGAGGGTCTCGAGCTGCTGGTGAACGCTCCAGCCGGAGGTTGCTAAACGTTGCCAAGCCATAATCTACTCTACGAGTGAATCAGGTCTAGATTGCCCGCTGCTTTACGCTCGCGCTACGCGAGCACACAGTCCTCTGCCACTCCAGGGCTGCCTTCCGAAAGTAGGGTTAGGGTTGCTCCTCACGCTATTTAGGAGCACAAGAATTGAACTTTGGGAGACCCAAGCTGGGCTGGCACCAGGTGCATCTCCAAATCCCCTTCAAGCACATTTTCCAGGCAACCTTTCAGGAGGGGCCGTTATCGGAGATCTTGGCGCAGTGAGGTCTACGTGAATTATCAAACACGGCAAGGCGGTAACACTACTGTCTACTCGCGTAAGTACGGCGGACGACGGCTGACACTACGACAAAACCAAAACCAATTTTTTCTTCAATTTTTTTTCTTCCCGCGACTTTGAAAAAATATTTGAAAAGATTTTCTAAAGAAATATCTTAGAGAAATACTTTAAGGGATTCTTTATGGGTTACTCGAGAAAGATTTAAGAGATTATTTAAGGGTATACTTTGGAAGGTACTCGAGGAGGGTATTTTAGAGAGTACTTAGAGGGTTATTCGAGGGCTTCCTTAAAGAGTTAACTCGAGAAATCACTCGGAAAAAAAAAAAGACTTCGCGGGAAGTTCCGCGGAAAGTCCCGTAAATATATATATATATATTTTTTTGCGAAGAACTTCATAAAACGTAAGTACCCGGAAGAGTACCCGGAAGAGTACCCGAGAGAGTACCCCGGAGAGTACCTCGAAGAGTACCCGGAAGAGTACCCCGGAGAGTACCCCGGAGAGTAGCCCCTAAAGAGTGCCTCAAAAAGTACCTCTCGAAGAGTTGAGAATATTCTAGAAAAAATATTTTGAAGAGAGTTATTAGAAATCGCGAAGAAAAAAATGAAAAGAGATTTTTTTTTTGGTTTTGTCGTAGTGTCAGCCGTCGTCCGCCGTAGTAAGGCGTCATTTAACAGAATATCAATCGATTTCCCTCGCGGGGTTCTCCTTACTTGCGCCCTGGAATAACACTTTACCCGAACTCTCTTCTTCTTAGATCTCACGCTATGTGTGTCTCGCCTCGCGCTTCGATCGAGACTTGGGCCGAGGATCGAGGTCTCCAGTGCTTATGAACTCCTGCGGTCAGCGGTATTGTCGACCTGCTGCACTGCGTCTTCATCGTATGATTCACTCAGAACGACGGCGTCCTCGAATAATGTACTGCTCTCCTATCAGCTGACACACGACTTGGGGATTGTTGAAGGACGATTTCGTTCGCGGCGATCGAGATTCTACTGTATGTGGTGATGGAGGTCAAGGAGGCGCGGGCTGGGGAAACCACAATAGCAGCACGGTAGGCGTAGGCGCCGCGATGCAGGCTTTGAAGGTATCAACAGTGGAGTCGGAGCTGGAGCCAAAGGTATGATTGGAGAAGTGAAGCGGGAATAGGTGCAGGTACCTAAGTCGGAGGCGGAGGGCAGAAGCGATATACGGAGATGGTAAAGTCTTTGAACCCCATTCCCATTTAGATTACGCCGGAGGCTTGCTGCTGCTGATCTTATGTCGGAATGGATACTGTGTGCAACTTTTACCTATAGTCTCTATCAATCCGAGTGGTCTTAGTGGAGCTTGGATTGTCTGTGATCTCATATCTGTGCTCTGTTCCTGGTCTGGAACTAACAGTCAGTCCTCGATATCTCTTTTACCGGGTCTTCGCCCACTCTCCATGCGTTAGCCTAGATACCTTTCCAGAGTGTGTATCCACTAGGATATGGACACGTTATCCATAGTCTTTTCAACATGCTCTGTGTCTCCATGATCGTAGAAGTCGCAGGATCTCGAATCATACATTCGTTCCACAAGCTTTTTTCTTCGCTATATTAGTTCAAAGCCAACCCGGCTCCAGACAAGGTTCGACCGCCGCTCGCCATTGTTGATGTTTAGCCTCTTCTTCCTGTACCTGGTCGGGGAAAGATCAAACAGTCAGGAGCCCAAGCTCGACCACCTTTTGCAGAACACAAGTGACTGGTATACATTCTTAGTTGCGACATCACTAGAAACAGATTCGATTAGCACTATTTCGGGTGATCAAGGCCACCGCGTTCAACATAGGTCTCGCGTTCCCGACGTTAGTTGTATTCGGTCTGTCAGCTAAGAGGACATAATACCACTCCGTAAACTTAGTTGAACTGAATGACCCCGCGAAGGGTGCTTGTGAAATGGTCGAATGGAGCACCATTTCTAGGCATGTGTTACAACGCCGATGATCCAACATTGCTCATATACCACTATTCAATGCCAGGGCTCTAGAGCGAGCTAGGTCCGGCCGTTGCCACTGGGCTATGCATCCCACTCAGTACCCTTGGCAGATTCAACCCAATTATACCAGTTCACCTCATCATCCAAGTCCATATTAGCATCGAAGGAATCCAAGTCTAAGTTGGAAAACACATCCACTGAGAGGTCAGCATCAGCCCACAGCTGAGGGACAAAATCAGGTCTCATAGTGCGGCCATCGGACCAGTCCGCGGGGACTGTGGGAATGAGATTATATGGTGGCCCAACAGTCTGTCCCGAGGCCAATTCGCTGGGAGCGTTCGTCGTAATCGCCGGTTTTAGGTCTCTGATATTGGTACTCTCCAAATTTTGGCCGACCTGCTGTCCACTTGTACCAAGATACGTTGGCTCAAAGGTCATATTGGAGCTAAAAACGCCTGGGCTATAAGCGTAAGGAAACCTTGCAGTCGGTTGACTTGTGTAGGTTGTATGCATCGATGGGTCGGCAAGCCCTGCGCCGGATATTCCAGATGTCTGTGGGCCGTCTCCGCGCCCCTCTGGTATGGCTAAGAGCTGGCGCCACCGCCTGCGAAAGCTATCGACGTTAGACCCGGTTGGAAATGGCCCAGAGCTTGACGGCAGTGGGATTTTCTGGTCCTCCATCTCTAGCCTAGCGGCGGCCTGTTGATCGGCCCGCAGCCGGTTGAGCTCGGCGTCGCGATGCTTGCTGGCCTTTTCCATCAACTTTCGTAGCGGAACCCAGATGCGCGGTTTCTTGTCCATGGGGGCTTGGGCTGGAATCAGCCAGCTGCTGTGAAGTGCGACCCAGGCCCTCTCGACTATAGGCGACCAAGGGCGTCGGGAGATCTCGATCATGAGGTATACAATGGCATGCCAATGGGTATAGGTTTGATAAACCCAGCGCCATTTTCGACATGCTTGTTCGGCGTTTAGCGCATGATTGTACTCTGCGACTTCAATTGCCGAGACCAGCAACTTGGTTCTTACCTCGTCCGAGATGTGTTCGCTTGGGGAAGAGAAAAGAACGGGGAGAAAAATGATGAGCGTCATCTTGGCCATGGCAAGCCGCGCGATGGTGACTCCGACCCAATAGGCAATATTCCCTGACTCTGTCGTATACTGACAATAACCCTGTTCGAATTTCTGGTAGATCTCGTTCAAGAGACGGCTTTGGTCTTCCAGACCTGCTACACCATCCCTTTCACTAAGGGCCATCATCTGCCTCATGGTATCGCCTATCCCGAAGAAGATGCGAGCAAATGACATATCGGTCACGCCGGCGCGCTCTGTGGGCATCTGTTTTGTCTCGGGATCGATGTCTACATCATTGATATTCAAAGGGATTCGCGTGTCAAAGCTGCCGCTCGCGATAGTCAGGTCCGTCCCTTGATCCTCTGATGCTCTCACATCCAGCATGCACACGG